GAATGATGACTTAGGTAATTGCCCAGGTGAGAAACAAGGAAGAATAAAGAAAAGAAACAAGCAAGCCAGCAGTCCTTGTAGGCCAGTCATCCTCCCGCCACCCCAGCAAGAGAAGCGTTCTTAAGACAGTGGAAATGCAGTCATCACAATTGTGCAGAGTGGGCCTGAAATTGAGGCTCAGGCCCTGCCATGAGATCCCAGCATGGCATCTGCAGGTGTTGGTGCCCCGTACTGCTGGCCTGGGTTGGATGGACAGTCTACGCTGAGGCAGGCCAATGGCAGTGTCCCATTATGACCTGGGCTCTCCGGTTCCTCCTTCACCAGCAACCCCCAGCAGCTGCCCTGGAAGCTGTGGAGTGGGTCGGCAGCAATGCTTGAAAATCAGGCCTTTTGTAAGGCCAGTGAGTGCTTTCCCGAGTCGCCAGATGTTGCCAATGGCCTCACCATTTCCAGCCCCACTGAACCACAGTAATGCTGTGTCCCCAGCAGCAGGTAATCCCAGCGCAGGCTGGACCCTTCACACGGTTCTTTGATGCCCTCTAGCGTTCCTTTGGTGCACGACAATGACGCCACGTAAGCACTCAGGAGGTGGCTCCCACCCACCACCCTGGGGTCTCTCTCCCCTTGCGTGTGTGACTGTGCAGACACTGTGGACCTTGGTCCCAAGCAGGATCAGGGTGGATCAGGCAAGAGGTGCAGCTTGCTCAGCTTGCTTTGGGATTCAGGACAAGAATCGCTTGACTCTGCACGGAGTCCCCATCCCCCAGCTTCACAAGGACAGGAAACTCACCGCTCCTAAAACTACCYGGCTCTGCCTCTCAGATCCGCGTCCTGCGGGACAGGGATGGGGCTATGTGAATGACCAGAAGACTCGGGAGGTTTATTTCCGGATCCGTGCCTGAGAACTGGGGTGTTGGCGGGGAAGCAGCCTAGGCCGTCCTGGGGGTCACACCCTGGTCTGATAACCTCAGTGGCCCTTGGCCCTACTGCCTTTGGAAGCCCCTGGCCCCACAGCCTAGGCCATGCCCCAGGTTATTGAGGATGGTGGGGAACTGAAAGGCCAGGAACACCGAATTGGGATTCCAGGATTCAAAGAGGTCACAGAAGCCCAGGATGGGACCGTGGAGGAGGGAAAGCCCCTAAGGAGGTAAAAAGTAACCAGGCTGGAATGTTGGAAGCAGAAGGGGAAAGAAGCCAGTGAGCGGCAGTTTTATGAAAGCTGCTGGTGAGCGATGACTCACCAGTGGAAGACAGATACTTTTCAAGCCACAGAGACTTAAAGCAGGGGCAGGCAGGAGGCTCAGCACCACCTGGAGCATGGAGCTCAATTCTCCAGAGCAGGCTGCAGGGCCAGGTACCTTGTGGAGGGAAGCATAGGTGATGTGGCCCTTCCTGACTCAGATAGAGCTTGGAGTTAACAGGGGGGAGGGGCTCCAAAGGAAAGAGGGACAGCAATGTGTGGCAGTTCAAGAGAAGGTTCTGGTTCAATAAAAGAGCTGTGCAACTATCTCACTGAGAGCCAGAGGGAGAGGCTTCCTGTCACGGAGGTATATAAGTCAGAAAACCATTGTCAGTTTACTGTGAACGGAGTTTTAGTCACATTGAACAATGGTGTATGACAGAACAGTCCTCTCTACACTGAGAACCTAAGAGTCCATCATAAATTACTGCCTTTCACTGCGGAACAACAGACACAATCATCATTAATGGGTTTGCCACTCATGCGTGATCATGTGTGTCTGTGCTACTGTACTCCAATGTCTGCGTGCTTATCAGATACTGGAGAGACCCAGATTCTGATACCATGTCAATGTTGACCTTGGGACCAAGTCCATTCTGTCTCCTTAATTAAACAATGATAGGATGTCAGGAAACCCATTACCCATTGTAAAATGCAGCCCAGCTCTGGGGGTGAGGGTTGCCATGGATGAGAAATTTCTATCCCAGGCCACTCTGACTTTGGTTTCCAGATTTCATTTTCCCCTGTGGTGTCTCTCACTGAAGAGTCTTCAGGGGACCTTGCTGTCACCTCTAACACCAGGCCCAAGTGTGTACTCAATGCCTATGGACCTGAGAGACCAAGCTAAGACCTTCTGTGGCTTGAGACAGCCAAAGGGAAATCAAACCTGAGAGAGCTTGCAGCTGGACTCTCTGGTTACAGCGTGGCCTGAGCTCACACTCCCCCTCCCCCCAATCTTCCTGCTCTCATACAGGAGCACCATCTCTTCCCACTCACAGGATCCCCGGCATTGCTTGCCTCAAAGGCCAGGCCTAGAGAGCAATGCCAAAGAGATAAGGTTTCCAGCCCCCACCTGTCTTAAGGTTTGACTCCTACCATCCCTGGGACCCATATAGGTGCCTCTTCTTCCCAGTGACTGATTCTGAGGTTGCCCACCCCGTACTGCCAGGCCTCAACAGGACAACTCTAGCAGAATACAACCTACTAAGCATAGATATTTGACAAATGACCTCAGTGGGATTCATTCCCAAGGCAAACAGATTTGCAAAGAAACCTTCAACATTGGTTGGTGGTTAAGTATATCTGTGGATCAATACTGAAACTTTGGTAGGATCGAGCAAATGAGAAAATATTTTGATGTTATTGGAAGCCAGGGATCTCACTGTGGGAGAAAAGAGAGGCAAATAAGAAATGGAGAAGGCAGCAAGAACTCTGTGTGGGTCTTGTCTGTGTATATAAGATGTAGATGGTAGAGAGATTAGATTAGACATTAAAAGGCAGGACAAAGAAGTAATGACACCCTGGAAACAGTGAGCACATCAAGGGCCCAGAGTTTGGCTTCTAAACACCATTTTGCACTAAAAAGAGCCAGCCCTCCCACCACCCCGGGAAATGGTTGACTCCAATGCTGGGACGAGGACAGTGCCAAGAGAACTGAAAGATCTTGCTTGGGCCAAGAAGCAAGAAGATGCTCAAGGGCTGGGGATGTGGCTCAAGTGGTAGCACGCTCGCCTGGCATGCGTGCGGCCCGGGTTCGATCCTCAGCACCACGTACAAATAAAGATGTTGTGTCCTCCGAAAACTAAAAAATAAATATTAAAAAAAAAAGAAGGTGCTCAAAAAAAAATTATAGAAATGTGGGAGGAAACATGGGTAGAACATGAAGGGGTTTTCCAATAGTCAAATCTGGAAATATTTGAGCATCCAAATTAACAGTGGTATCAATTGATTATAAGACACGGAATTAAAAAGGAACCCATGAGTCTAGAAATAAGTGGGAAGAAAGGAAAGCTCTTGTTTGCAGTGGAATGTGAAGTATTCACATAAGATGATAAGTTGAAGCTGGGCTCAGTGGTACACACCTGTAATCCCAGAGGCTGGGGAGGCTGAGACAGGAGGATCACAAGTTGAAAGCAAACCTCAGCAAAAGCAAGGCTCTAAGCAACTCAGTGAGACCCTGTCTCTAAGTAAAATACAAAATAAGGCTGGGGATATGGCTCAGTGGCCAAGTACACCTGAGTTCAATCCCAGTACCTTCCCCCCAAAATAAAAAAGATGATAAGTCGGCAAATCACCATTTTTCAGCTTCAAAAGTAATGTGACTTAGGTMGGAACCATCAATGGATACTGATGAGTTAGTTTGTGACAGTAGAATACTCAGTCTCAAAGTTACTCCCACAGATTATGTATTGATTACAAAAGGGAAACGGTACCTTTCAAGTGTGAGACCTGGCAACCATCACCTCACCTAGATCAAGTGATCACATTTAATGTCATCAAAAATGGGGAAAAGTGCCATCAAGTGTCCCTAATGTGAAGTACTCAGGCAAGGATGTCATTTATATAGGATACCTGCCAAGAATGCATAACCTGAATCTAATCATAATAACACATTCAGACAAACCCAAACTAAGGAATAGTCTACAAAATGACTGATATGWATTCTTCAGAAATATCAATGACATGGAAGGACTACAGTAGGCCAAGGAATGATTTGAGATTAAGCAAACCAGAGACCCAACAAATCAATGCCAGACATAGCCCTAGAATGGATGGTCCTTCAAAAAAACCACAAGTACCTTAAAGGATATTATTGAACCACTTAGTGAATTTGGAAATGGACAATATATTAGATAAAACATTGTGAAGGTATTTATATCTTGAATTTTATAAGTGTGTGTGATGGTATAATAGAATGTCTTCCTTCATAGGGAATTCATGCTGAGATATTTAGGAGTAAAGGGTCAGGATATCTGCCACATTCTCTCAAATAGGTCAGAAAAAATAAATGTACAGTAGATATTTTTTCATTCCCTGGGTACTTTTTCTCCTCTTGCCATCATTTGGCTGGTTTTCTTCCAAAATTTTACAGTTAAATTCCTGAGAGAGAGAATATGCTTGGGTAGGGTCCTCTCCCTCAGAAACCTCATCCACCTCTGACCAGGCTCGGGATTGGCTGCCTGGAATCAGATGCCCACCTCCTGTCCAATCAGTTCTGGTGCAGCATAGGTCACGTGGTACATAGCATGGCTGCCTCTGCTGCTTCCACAGTCGGGGAGGCTCAAGAAGTTCTCCTGAGAAGAACCTGGTAGACCCCATGCTTGGCTGGGCCAATATAGTGTGTCTCTAGCTGCCCAGGTTAGTCCCAGAGACATCTGAAGAGCTCCTGACCTAACTGGGTGCCTAATTCTCTCCATCTTTCAACAAACCTCACAGCTGCCTTTTCTGGGCCACATCTTGTGCTAGGTCCTAGGGACACAGAATTGACCCAGTTCCTACCTTCAGGACCTCTGACTCAAGCTGAACAGGCAAGAGGACAGACAGAACTGGAGGGCAGAGTTGAATTGCCACCAACAAACAGAAAGGCAGTCAATAGCAACTGAGGCCTAGGCCCCACCAGGTGGGCACATAAAGGTGGAGTCCAAAAGTCCTCCTGAGTGGTGGCATTGGCTGTGCTCACAGAAGGGAAAAGGGATAGGGAGGGACCTCAGCTGCTGGAGGTACCCAGTCCATCCCTGCGCTTTGTTTTCTCTCTGCACAGCCGGACCCAGCAGGCCGGGACATCTCCATCCGCCCACTCCTGGAGCACTGCGAGAACACCCACATGACCATCTGGCTCGGCATCGTCTACGCCTACAAAGGGCTTCTCATGGTAGGTGCTGCGCAGGAGACAGCTGAGGGGCACTTCTTTATCAGGTCTCTCTCTCCTAGGGGCCTCCCTCAACATAAAAACAAACAGAGCCCCCTAGACTAAGCACTTATTCTCTGTCRGGCCTGGCATCTGCCACATCTTCTCAGGCCCTCCAACAACCCTAGAAGACAGGTACAGATGATATCCCTATTTCCCTGATGAGGACACTGAGGCTCTGTGTCTTGCCCAGGATCAGTCAGCTGGTAAGGGTGCCTCACAGCGTCACTGTGCAGCTCCCCGGAGCAGCAGTCTGATAGCATCCAGCACATGCTCATGTTCCACAGTTCACTGGATCCTCTCTAAGTCCATGGGAGGCGAATGAAATCATCCCCACTTTACAGATGAGGAAAGGAAGGCTCAGAGGAGTTCAGTGATTTGCCAAAGGCTACCCAATAACCTGCAGTCTCTGAGTCCAGCCTTCATTCCCCTCCCGCCATCTGCTACATCAAAGATCACAGATGAAGCCAACATCGAACAGTTGTGGAGTTTCAGTGTTAGGAAGGACTTGAAAGGTCCCCCCTACCCTGGCTTTCAAGAATGAAGCTGTCTCCAATAGTTAAATAAACTGGGGTTTTTKGGGCCCCTCGAATGTTCTGCTGACTCACAGAACTGTAGATCCTGTGTCCTTCAAGGGGCCACACTAGAAGGGCATGTATTAGGAACCCTAGGGAAAGATTGTTCCAGTTGAGAGACTCTCAGGATTTCCACAGCGCTCTTTTGAGCCCCAGGGGGAATAACAGGACTACTAGGCCACAATCTGGACCCCTCAGGGTGATGACCTTCTACAGGAGGTGCCTAGAGTGGCAACAGGAACTGGAGAACTGGCCAGAGGTCCTGGATGTGGACAGAGTACACACAGGGAACATGGTCACCAAACACTTGGAAGAGCTATCAGAGATAGATGGCCCAGGCAGATCAAAAAAGGCAAAGTTGGGCTGGGGTTGTGGCTCAGCAGTAGAGTGTTTGCCTAGCATGTGAAATCCTAGCATAGGTTCAATCCTCAGCACCTCATAAAAATAAATAAATAAATAGATAAATAAATAAATAAATAAATAAATAAATAAATAAATAAATAAATAAATGTGCTGTGTCCAACTACAACTAAAAAATAGATATAACAAAAAGAAGAATTTTGTTCCAGGGAACAGCATCCCCAGAGGGAAGGGAGCCCCTGAGAAGAATGAGCTTTATCACAGAAGGCATGCTGAGGGGACTCCCCTCATTGAATAAGAAGAGTGAGACTAGGCTCTCCCCAAGATCCTTCCAGCCTCCATATTCCTTGATTCTGAGGTTCCATGAAATTAGATTGTAGCAAATCATACTGACATTTTTAAACTGGATGTGCCTGCCATGTTTTCATCATTCATTATCTCTCCCGCCCACTTTCAAAAATGATGGGAGATAACTGCATCTATCCCGTGAAGCGAATGCCCCAGCTGGATGGCATTATAGAAGCCATCCAGAGTGTGCTTCCCCTTCCAGAGTGTGTGCAGGGAGCCCTCCTTAGCCCTCCTGGCCTTTAGGGTCTATAGCTAAAATCCTACCCCTACCCCTTCTGTTCCAGAAGCACAGACCCTGGGCTGGACAGAGCAGTCCACCAATCAGTGTTCACGTGCTGCCTGCTTCCACAGAGCCAGTGATGGGAATTCGCCCTTCTCAAAGCAGCTTGTGCCACCCATGGATGTGTATTAGTTTCTTTTAGCTGCCATGACAAACACAACACAGTGGCCTCACAGAACAGAAATGTATTCTCTCACTGGGGGCTGGAAGTCCAAAATCAGGGCAGGCATGTTCCCTTCAAGGGCCTAGGAAAGAATCCTTCCTTGCCTCTTCCAGTGCAGGTGGCTCCAGGCAGCCCTTGGCTTGTGGCTGYATAACTCCCKTCTCCACCCCTAACTTCACATGGCCTTCTCCTCCTCTCTCCCAATCCTTGCCATTGGATTCAGGGACCATCAGAATAACCCAGGATGATCTCAGGATCCTTATGGCATCTGCCAAGACCCTTCTGTCTAATAAGTTCAGTTTCTAGCGATCCAGATGTGTTAGAGCTGCTTCTGATGGGTCACTTTTCTAGAAAATTCTTCCTTCCTCTCCACTGAAATCTACCTCAGTATAACTCATGCCCACGAGTTCTTTCTCTGTTGCTTGAAGGTCTAAGAATGCATTACTCTGTTTTCTCCTGACGCTCTTGAGAGATTTGCAGGCAGCCACCAGGTCCCCAGGCATGCCCATATTTTATGACTGGTTGAGACCTTTCTGCTGGTTTGGTTGGCACCTTGGCAGTGTGGCAGAGAGGTGGCCACGCTAACTACCTGTCAGAGAGCTGAAGTCTCAGGCAGCCATCCAGCCCTGATGCTCACTGCCRTGGGTCCCCAAGCAGGTCACTCTACCTGTAAGCCTCTGCTTCCTGCTCTCTTAGATGGCACAGCCCCTGTGGGGCTGAAGTGCGTCCCATGTGAAGGAACCAGCACAACACAAGCTCCCAACAGGAAATGTTTTCCTTCCCTCACTCAGCATCTGGTTCCTGGGCTGCTGGTTCCCTATTTTTAAAGGAATTGTTTTGAAAAATAAATCACAGTGGGGCTTAGTGGTGCCCAAGTACTCAAGAGGCTGAGGCAGGAGGATAACAAGTTTGAGGCCAGCTTAGGCAACTTAGCAAGATCCTGTCTCAATAAAATTAAAAAAGGCTTGGTGATGTGGTTCTGGTAGAGCTGCCCTGGTTCCATCCCTACCACCCCACCACCACCACCACCACCACCACACACACACACACACACACACACACACACACACACACACACACACGAGGAGGAGCAGCTGGGCGCAGTGGTGCATTCCTGTAATCCCAGCAACTCAGGAAGCTGAGGCAGGAGGATTGCCAAGTTCAAAGCCAGCCTCAGCAACTTAGGGAGACTTTATTAAAAAATAAAGTCTCAGTGGTAGAGCACTTTCCTAGCACATCAGAGGCACCGGGTTCAATCCTGGGTTCAAACCACATAAAAATAAATAAATAAAGTAAAGGTATTCTATCCATATGCAACTAAAAAAATTTTAAATAAAAAGGCTTGGGGATGTGGCTCAGTGGGTAAGTGCCCCTGGGTTCAATCCCTGGTATCAAAATAAATTAAATATTTTTAAAAAGGAGGAGGAGGAGGAGAAACCAGCCTGAAAGATAACACATTTAGAGGAAAAGATAAAGGAATAAAGGACAGGGAGAGGAAAGCCACCATGGTGTGTGCAAGAATATCTATGACTAAGTAGCTTCTGACTTCCTTGGTGCAGGACGTCTCCATCGACAACGTGCTCCCCTGCCGTCTTCTCTCAGCTGAGCAGAAACCCTGTGAGAACTCTGAGTTTTAGGAATGTTTCCATCTCACAGATGTGGAAAGTGAGGCTCTGAGATGGGGACTGACTTGCCCCAAGTCACACAGCCAGCGGATTGCAGAGTCCAGTCCAGGTCTCTGGCTCCGTGTCCTGCTCTCTCCTGCTAAGCGAGTTATTCTGCCTCACAAGCTGGTCCTCGGGGCAGTGATAAGTGGATCTTTCAGCTCTCCATGCCTGGAGCTGCAGGGCTGGTGCCCAAGGAAAGAGGGCCTTGCTGAGAAGGAGGCTGCACCCAAGCAGAAACCCTCTCACACCTCCCCTGAGCCCACCTCCCCTTGGGCCTCCCATGAAGGCTCAAACCTCAATTTTGGTCTCTACCCTGTCCAGTTCTGTAGGGAGATATATTGGTCAGGAAAAGAGCTGAAAGTGAAATCAAAATTAATAGTAGTTAGAGAAAGAGGTAATTTTCCTCTCTGGGAAAGGAGAGTAAGCCACTGGAGGCTGGCCAAGGGCTACTTGCTTCTTGTTACTCACATGTCCTCATCATACAGCTTCCACCCCATGGTCTAAGAGAGCTGCTGAAGCTCCATGCATCACTTTCCACTCCAACTTTTYGGGAGCAAATTCAACACCCTTTCCCTTTAAAAGGCACATCTCAAAACTCATGCACATTTCCCCTTATGGAACATTGTCCAGAACCCAGTTATATGCCACACTGAGCTTCCAGGGAAGTTGGGAAATGTAGTCTCCGTTCTGCATGGCTCTGTACGTTGGGATGTCATCCCAGTCCCCACCTCCAAGGTATATGCCCAGTTTAATAGAAAAAGGACTAKATTGAACTCCTGGAGAGACACCTACTTTTGCCACCATCTTTCTGTGTGGCCTTGGGCAAGTCCCCTCTTCCTCTCTGGGCCTCAGTGTTCTCTAGAGAGTGGGAGGAGTTGGTCGCGATCATTCCTGGAGTCCCTTCCCACTGATGGGTCTGTGAAATGAACCAGTCATGGAAGTGAAGGAGAACCAGGCACCTGTCACTCATCTCGGTCTAGATTTCCTCAGTGGGACGCAACCCGGGCCATGGGTGGAGACAGATGGTCTCATCCAAAAGACATGCCTGGTAGCAAGGGCCCCCCGCATTCCTCTCTGCAACCCCTCCTTCCTAAGCAGCCCCCATTTGGCAGTTTCTTGGGGCAGCGAGTGTGTGCCGTCACTTGGTAATGACCATCTTCCCTTTCTGTTCACCATTTCAGTTGTTCGGTTGTTTCTTAGCTTGGGAGACCCGCAACGTCAGCATCCCTGCACTCAATGACAGCAAGTACATCGGGATGAGTGTCTACAACGTGGGCATCATGTGCATCATTGGGGCCGCTGTGTCCTTCCTGACCCGGGACCAGCCCAACGTGCAGTTCTGCATTGTGGCTCTGGTCATCATCTTCTGCAGCACCATCACCCTCTGCCTGGTGTTTGTGCCAAAGGTACCAGGCCCCTGGCCTATGATTCCATTGCTGGGCTTTCTCCACTTTCTAAGATTTTGCACATGCTCTTTTTATGATGATGACTGTTTTAGTCCATTTTCTGTTGCTATAATGAGATAACTGAGGCTGGTTAACTTCATAAATATAAGAGGTTTTTGGAGTTCAGAGTTCTGGAGATTAGAGGGCATGGCACCAGTGCTGGCTATACGCCAGTGAGGATCTCATAGCAGATGGTGTCACAGCAGCAAGGAGGACACAGGGGAGGAAAAGAACACATCTCAAGACAAAGCCAGAGAGCAATTCAGGGGTTGGGCTTACTCTAAAAACAATTTGCTCTCCTAAGAACTAACTCAGTTCCATGATAACTACATTTAACTCTCCTGAGGACATGCCCCCAATGACCTACAGACCTCCCAAGTAGGCCTCACCTCTTTAAGGTCCCACCATCTCACCACTGCCACATTGAGAACCAAGMTTTCAACACATGAGCCTTGAGGAACACCCCCAAAAACCCCCAAATTGTAGCAGCAACAACTCACATTATAGAAAGCTTCRAAAATGCAGAGAGGAGCTAGATTTTCAGAAATTTCCCAATAGTCCTGTCACCTTAAAATTAACAAAGCTTAACATTTTCTTGGATGCTTTTCATTGTCACTGTTTTTGACGTTGCCTGCTGGTCTTTCTGATTTCCAAAGGCTGGGAGATGATGCTTTGTAAGATTTGATTGTAACTAGAGCACACATTTTACTTCATAATTTGCCTCTTCCGCTGAACTTTTTGTCCATATTGCCCCTCGTTTGAGAGCATCATTGAGAGGAAGGTTCATCACCAACATGTCCACTTGCTCCCTTCCTGGTGAGCGTTGCAGTTGCTTACAGACTTTTTTAATATTACAGGTGCACAGTTTTTCTACAAAACACTTTTCTTGTTTCCAGTTATTCCCTAAGATGCAATCTTAGGTGCCGGTTTCTGTTCTCACGACTAAAAGGCTCAGGGGTCACTCCAGTTGAACTGGGCTAACTGGGCTGCACAAAATAACCACACAAGAGACACAAATACGTTTTTCTTTGGGGTCACTGTGACGGCTCCTCTGACCTTAAGGGTCCGCAGGAAGAGAAAGAGGAGAGAGAGAGCACGCGCTGACCCCTTTTATTGAGGAGAAGCTATTCAAATGAGGCAAGGGGTCAGGTTCACGGGGCTGAGTCTGTCTTCATGGTGTCCACTGTCAGCAGGTTGACTGACATTAGGTAGGCCACACCCAAGGGCACAGTAAGAGAAGGAGACACACACAAGGCACTTCCATGGAACATTCTATCCTAAACAGGGCAAGGGGTTATATTACAAAGRAACAGGTGAGCATAGCTCCCCCCTTGGGGCTGTAGCAAGACAAGCCCAGGCAGGAAGACACAAGTCACTCAAATCCTAGAAGAGCGGGATGGTCTAGCAGCATGGGTGCCTGACACCACATCACCCAGCGGGGGAGTTAACTCAGTCACATGCGAGGTTGGACTCCCACACTTAGGAGCAGCATCACTGGGTCCAAAGGAAAGACCATTTGGAATACACACTTATATTTCCCATTTATCTGAAGGGCCGGCCCTCAGGACACCGTGAAGAGATACTTTTCACAATCATCGTGTAGCAGGAGGGAGAGCCAGAGGCCTTGACCTCTGAGGACACCCTGCGTGGGGCCTGTGGAGAGAGGGAAGCCACCTTAGTGGTCTCAGGGTGAAGGAGAAGGCAGGAAGCAGTCGGGAAGGAGTTGTTGACTTAGGGAGGGAGGAAGGAAGCAGTCTTCTCTCTTCAAGTCCTCCACTCTCCCTTCAGCTCATCACTCTGAGAACAAACCCAGATGCAGCAACTCAGAACAGGAGATTCCAGTTCACTCAGAACCAGAGAAAAGAAGACTCCAAAACATCCACTTCGGTCACCAGCGTGAACCAAGCAAGCACGTCCCGCCTAGAGGGCCTGCAGTCGGAAAACCACCGCCTGCGGATGAAGATCACCGAGGTACCACAGGCCTCCCCGAGTCCCCTCTCCTCAGGCTCCTGCAGGCCCTCCCAGCCCATGCACCTGCAGCACAGCCCTCTGCTGCCCCCAGGCTGGCACCCATTAGATAGGGGCAGTTGTCAGATCTAACTGACAAGAGCCTACTGCCCACCCAGCCCAGATTCTTAGAGTCCAGCAATGCCAGACTGGATTGGGGCATTCAAGACATCCTCAGAAAGAAAGCAATTCACAAGAGATCTGTGACCCTCCCAGCCGGCCACCCCTAGAACCCCATCACACACAGCAAGAGAAGAGGAAGGGAGMAGAGGCTTTCCTGGAGGGAGGTGTTGCTGCTGCAGTTCTCACCCTTGTCCTGAGGGGGGTCTTATCTGGTTCTGGACTATTCCAGAGAGGTCATAACCAGATTCCTTTGTGCCCAAAGCAAACCCCAGATTCTGGACTTGCTATATCAGTGAGGGAAATCAGCTTCCCTTCTGTAGGGCCAGGGATCCAACTAGGCCCACAGTCTGGTCTGCCGGCTGCCAAAGGAAGCATGTTTACTTCTCTCCCACCCAGGGTCTTGGGRAGAGAGGTCCCTATTGGGCAACTTGGCTCCCCAAGGTCATTGCTGGACCAGGTTCAAGTAAAGCTGGGCAGAAGGCAAGTCCTCATCTCAGTCTCAGCAATGGGAGTGACAGGAAGTCCATTAAAAGGCAAGCCATTGCCTTTTAAGCAAGTGACATCAAAATTGCACACATTGGTTCTGCTCCTGTTAGATTGGAAGTGCACGACTTCTAGTCACAGAGGAGGCTGGGAAATGTCGCCTTTTGCTGGACAGTTGCAGGGAAGAAGTGCCAGGTTAGAAACAGGATGCTCCGTTAAATTTGAATTTCAGATAAATGACCAATCAAATTTTCAGATGAGTATATCTCATACAATGTTAGGGATATACTTAACACGAGAAAAAAAAAAGACCTTTTGTTATCTGAAATTCAAATTTAACTGTATTTTTACTTGGTTGATCCAGCAGCTCCTTGGGGGACTTACAGTAGCCTGCCATAAAGAGTACCCTGAAATCACTGCAGCCCCACACCAGCCCCCAGTCAGAGCAGGAAAGCTTTCTGTCCCTCATTGCTGATTCTGGGTCAGCATCTGACCTCTCTCTGATTAATATCTCCGGGCCTTGACATTGCACTTCTGCTCACACCCTCCAGTGAAGAGTCTGCGCACTCTGGGAAAACCAAGCCACTGTTAAAAGCCCTAAAATGTAGGGATTTCCCCCTGGAATTGGATCACATCTGGCCTCTTTTCCTCCCAGCCTTAGATCCTGGCCCTGCCATGTGAGTCACACACAAACAAGGGGGAACGGGTATCTCCATCTGCACGTGAAAATATATTAAACAGTGACCATGCTCCTGAATCACAACAGCACCTCAGTTTATAAGGTCCCTTCCCTAATACTGTACCTGATGCCAGCCACCCACTCAATCTACCACTGCCCCCTCCAACACACACCTTCCCGGCTTCTGTGGGCTTAGTTGCCCCAGGACCTGCACCTAATTTTTATGTAACCCAGACATGACAGCAACCAATCCTGATCAGCTTCTCCGGATAAGCCCTGCTGGCCTGAGCCTCCATAACAGTGTGAGGCTCACAGCTGTTCACCCTGTGTATCTGTTCTCCACATTGAGGGTGCTGTTAGATACCAGTAATACTGTTTATAGTAATAGTACTAAGGTAACAGATTATCCTTATTCAGTGCCAGGCACTGGACTGACTGGCTAAACTTTCTACACGTTCCCATTTAATCTCCACAAAGGTTGGTACAAAGGTTGCCCCATACTGCTGATAAAGAAATTGAGACTCTTAAACCAGTACAGAGCCAGTGATGGACAGCGTAGATTTGCCCCAGGACTGTCAACTCCAYATCTGAGCTTCCCTCTTTCTGCCCTGCCTCCTGGGCTTACTCAGCTCCTCCATCAAGGTTCAAGCCCAGGTCCATCGGGTCTTAGGTTCTCCTTGAGCAAGAGCAGCAGAATCCTGCACCTCCTCACCAGATGCAGAGGTCCAGCACACTTCTTGGCTAGCTCCCTGGGCTGGGCAGGGGGAGAGGGAAGACAGTGACTGAGTTGGAGTACTGTCTTCCAGCTGGACAAAGATTTGGAGGAGGTCACCATGCAGCTGCAGGACACACCAGAAAAGACCACGTACATTAAACAGAACCACTACCAAGAGCTCAACGACATCCTCAACCTTGGGAACTTCACAGAGAGCACAGGTAAGAGGAGGCAGGACCCGCACTGGACAACTGGGGTTTCAGACGCCAGCCAGCCATCTTCCTCCACAATGGCAAGGGACAGGTCTGAAGTCACACACACTCAGCTGGAGCTGTCTCCTGGCCACAATTCAGTGTCTGCTCTGAGCCTCGCAGGCTGGACGTGGGCTTCTGTTCCCGTCCCTCCAGTGCCAGGTCTGCATGTACGCAAGTGCTCCCAGGGAGCTGGTGTTTTCCCTTTTGTTCCCAGCAAATAGTTACGTTTACTTCTCTGAACAACGTTTCATGGTTTCAAATGTGTCTCATGAGTGTACAAGAAAAGAATAATCAGTAAGGTAGGCTCTGATTTCCAACCTCACCAATCACCTGTGAGTGTGAGCCACAACACACTCTTGTATGTGAATGTAGGAGTGCTTTGTCACTGAGCCATATCCACAGTCCTTTTTCTTTTCTTTTTTTTTTTTTTTTTTTGAGACCGTCTCATTAAATTGCTGAGGCTGGCCTTAAACTTGAGATCCTCCTGCCTCGGCCTCCCACGTTACTGCTATTATAGGCATGCACCAGCATACCCAGCTCATAGACCACTTTTTGCCCACCTCTCAGTTTAAAAGTTGACTGGGTGTGGGGCTGGAGGTGCAGCTCAGTGGTGGAATGTGTGCCTAGCATGCATGAAGCCCYGGGCTGGATCCTAAGCACACACACATACAAAAGATTATCTGTGTAGATAAAAAGTGGGCAATTTCCTGTTCTCCTGTGATGTTTGGAAATCAGGCTGGCACTCTCCAAATGTTAACTGTTAAGCTTCCTGACCTAGCAGTTCCATAGCAGGAGGTACCCCTTGGAAATATGTCCAGGTGGGCAAAGAAGCATGCACGAGGATACTCATCACATTATTTGTAAGTGTGAAATTCTGTAATTAACTTAAATGCTTATCATTTGAAGTGGTTTCATTTATTATCATCCAACCAAACATGGCACATTATATATCCATTAAAAAGTGAAGTGGGTCTATTTATTTGTACAGATATGGAAAAAATCTCCAAGTGAAAAAAGCCAGCATCAGGGTCTGGGGTTGTAGCTCAGTGGTAGAGTGCTTGCCTCACACGCATGAGACCCTGGGTTCATTCCCCAGCACCACATAAAAATAAAGATATTTTTTAAAATTCCAGCATCATACAGACAAGAGGGGGAAAGGGARAGAGGGCAAGTGGGAGAGAGAGGGAGAGACAGAGACAGAGAGAGAAAGAATATGGATATTTTTGACAGCATAGGGAGAGAGCTGGGAGTATAGCTCAGTGGTGGAGCACTTACCTAGAATTCACAAAGCCCTGAGTTCAATACCCAGTGCAGAAAGTAAAAGCCTAGAAAAATAAATACCAAATTGTTTTGGGGTTTTTTTTTTTTTTTTTTTTTGCTTTTTGTTGTTGTTTTGATACCAGGGATTGAACTTGGGCACTTAGCCACTGAGCCACATCCCCAGCCCTATTTTGTATTTTATTTAGAGACAGGGTCTCACTGAGTTGCTTAACACCTCCCCATTGCTAAAACTGTCTTTGAACTCATCATCCTCCTGCCTCAGCCTCCTGAGCCACTGGGATTACAGGCATGAGCCACAGCACCCAGCCAAAATTGTTAACAGCATTCACCTGTGTAGAAAGAAATGTTATTGGGCCAGCGCAGTGGTGCATGCCTGTAATCCTAGTGGCTTCGAGGCTGAGGCAGGAAGATTGCGAGTTCAAAGCCAGCCTCAGCAATAGCGAGGCTTCTACTGCAGAAGATTCAYGAGTTCAAGGCCAGCCTGAGCAACTTATCGAGGATATGTTGGCCAGTGGTAGAGCACCCCTGGGTTCAGTCCCCTATACTGGAGGGGGAGAGAGAAGTAATATTATAAAATTATTATTACATAAGATGTTGATTGCAAAAATGTTTCATAGAGAAATTAAAAGAATAAAAATTACCCCTAATAATTTTAGTATCTTGTAAAAATGAGCATTTCAAATTAGTGGGGGAAAAGTGAATTATTCAGTTAATTTCATTGTGATCAATAGGTAACTATCTGGAAAAGAATAAAGGTAGCTCTTTGCCTCATACTTTACATGAAACTTAACTCCAGATAGATTTWAAAAAATTTAAATATAAAAAGAAAAGCCATGGACTGGGTTTGTGGCTCAGTGGTAGAGAGCTTGCCTAGCACATGTGAGGCATTGGGTTCGATCCTCGAATGTAAATAAATAAATAAATAAATAATAAAGGCCCATTAATAATTTTTTWAAAAAAAATTTTAAAAAGCAAAACTATGAAAATCCTGAAAGAAAGGAACGTTTTTAAAGAAAACTTCAGGGAAAGGCCTTCCTCAGTTTGATACACAACAGAAACACAAAAGGAGAGGATAATAAATTTGATTTCAGCCAGGGGTGGTGGCATGCACCTGTTGTCCCAGCTACTCAGGAGCCTGAAGCAGGAGGATCCTTGAGCACACAATCTGGAAACCAGCCTGGGTGACATAGTGGGACTCCATCTCAAAATAAATTAATTAATTTAAAAATATAAATAAATAAAATTTCAAAAACAAAACTAATTTTCACAGTGAAAATCATTCATGTTTTCAAAAAAATCAAACAATAAACAAAGCCAAATAAAATTTTAACAAACTCATGTACTTATAAATAAGGAGAAATTATATACAAAACATACATAATATACTAATAAGAAAAAGACCAATAATCCAAATGGAAATAAACAAAAGAGCAGTCTCAAAGGAAATAAAACTCATTCAATTAATCAATACCTTACTTTGATTTATGCATGTTTCTGTTTTAAAAAAATCTCATCTAAGCCAGGCACAGTGGCACATGTCTGTAATCCCAGAGGTTCTGGAGGCTGAGGCAGGAGGATCACAAGTTCAATGCCAGCCTCAGCAAAAGCAAGGCGCTAAGCAACTCAGTGAGATGCTGTCTCTAAATCAAATACAAAATAGAGCTGGGGATGTGTTCAATCCTAGTACTTCCCCCMAAAAAAACTCATTTAATATATATTCTCTAGTCCTTTATTTTTTTATTTTAAAACAGGGTTTCACTAAGTTGCTTAGGACCTCACTAAGTTGCTGAGGATAGCCGTGAACTTACCATCCTCCTGCCTCGGCCTCCCAAGTTGCTGGGGATTACATGTGTGTGCCAGGTCACCCAGCGTGCACTCGTGCTCTCTCTCTCTCTCTCTCTCTCTCTCTCTCTCTCTCTATATATATATATATATATATATATATATATATATATATATATATATATTTGATTCAATAGCATTGGCCTCATGGCTAACAGCACTCATGCCTGCTGGACCTTACCTAATACATGGATTTTCTCCATAAGGCACATCACAGTGCCTAGGAACCCTAGACAGCATTTCAGCATTACATTGGGGGCCATTTTAAACAGCAAAATCACCAACAGTACAAAAATGTGAGAAAGGAGCCTAGCTTGGTGGTACACGCTTGTAATCTCAGCAAGCTAGCCTCTCAGGAGGCTGAGGCAAGAGGATCCCAAGTTCAAGGCCTTCCTGGGCAACTTAGCGAGACCCTGTCTCAAAATATAATTTAAAAAAGGCTCAAGGGGTTGGAGCTATAGCTCAGTGTTAGAGCCCTTGCCTAGCATTTGCAGCACCCCTCATTTAACCCCAGTATTGCAAAAACAAAAATGTAGAAAATGTATCACTAAATAAACCTCAAAAAAGATACTTACTTATAGTATGAGAGCTGAACAAAAAGGCAGAACGTTGTCTCAGCCGGGAAGGTGAGCATCAGGCAACTCAAAATTCTAGATGCTATGCTCATCAGCAAATTACCACAAAATCATGGCAGGCATTGATGGGGGGTTACAGATAAATCTTGACGAGTGGATAAGTTTGTAAAGACAAAATCCACGAGTAATGAGGATGGGTGGTGCTCACGTGAGGGCAGAGTGACCTGTACATAAGGTTGTCCACCACAACACAAACAAAACCCTGATGCACCTGTCCCCACCGAGTGGATCCAAATCTCTTGGATGGGGCTGGTTTTCATATTTCTTTAAATCACTACAGATGGTTCTGAAGTCCAGAGAGGGTAGCGAGGATCACATCAACCTGGTTTGTGGCTACACAATACTCCTTTGAAGGGAGGCTCCAGAACTTACTCCAATAATCCATTATTACTGGACAAATTCAGATTAGTTCCAGCATTTTGATATAAATGATGCTTAGTTGAATATCTTTTCCCGTATCCTTGATTGTTTCTCTAAGATAATTCCCAGAAGTAGACATTCTGAGTAAAGGTTTGCATTTTTATGATGTTTGATACACGTTGACAGTACCCCCAAGAGGTTAGGTCAATTTATACTCCCACTAGCAGTTCACTATTAATCTTTTTGATCTTTGCTAAAACTGGGGGAAAAAAAATATATATATATATATATATAATATAAAATTATAAAAATATACAAGGATTTTTTTGTATATTATAGGGATGTCATGTCATGTGCCAGTGAAACAGTCTTAATATCAGAGCCTCAATTCCAAGTTATGTTGTCTGTATCAGTCAACTTAACTTCCCCCATTTTTCTTGGAGAAAAAGAGAATAGAGGCGGGTCACACGCTGCTGCCCTCCCCGGGTGAGTGGAGGCTCCTTGGCTCACTGCCTTGGTCTCAGAAGAGCTACTGCACAAACCCTGGTCCAGAGACGGCAGAGTGGGGGGGATCTTTTTTACATTCGTTGGGCAGCATCCTAAAGGTTGCATTGCTGATTTGTAAACTAACTTAACGGAACTTGTTGTGATATTGTTGTTTTGCATTCAGATGGGGGAAAGACCATTTTAAAAAATCACCTCGATCAAAATCCCCAGCTACAGTGGAACCCAACAGAATCCTCCCGAACATGCAAAGATCCCATAGAAGATATCAACTCCCCAGAACAGTGAGTACCTTCTCCTTGAGAATTATAGGAAGAATGTGTCTCCCCTGTACATCTGTTTATGATTGGCACAGTTTTTCTTTTTTTTCTTTTATTTTTTTTTTATTAGCTACACATGACATTACAATGATCTTGGCAATTCATACATTTAAATCACTGGGGTATAATTTCTCATTTTTCTAATTGTACAGATTGCAGAATCACACTGGTCATAGAGTCACCTATATACATACAGCAATCATAATGTCTATTCTATTCTGCTGCCCTTCCTATCCCCCCCACTCCTCCCCTCCCCTTCCATCATTTCTCTCTATCCAATCTAATGTGACACACTTTTTTTTCTTTTTCTCATCACAATATCATACATGTATTCTGTA